GTTTCAATAAATAAATCACGGATCATGCGCATAGTTTATATTACGCGAAATAAACCAACAATACCCGAAAGTCGTGGACTTGGTACAGGTTTTCACATGTTGGGAAGCAGTCAAGTGTGCGATTCAATATGGAAAGTGAATATGTATGAAATCTGTAACTTGACACGGTAATGAGCTGAAGCCCCAGTTAGCCTGGTTTGAATGTTAACTACAACTGTATTAAATTATCGGTATAACCTGTCTCTATACTCGAAGAGAATGTTATCTCTCTCTCTCTCTATCATCCATTATAGCGGGTAAAGAAAATAAACAAATCTAATCCAGTTTTACACGCACAGCACAAATAATAAGTGTTTATTGTTAGAAAGGTTTGTCATTTTATACTTTGTTACACATCAACAGAAAAATGGCACAAGCACTTCATAAAGTTAAGTAGATCCCAGCACCCATTCACTTCAACACACTGGAGTAGCTTACTTTTTTAAAAGTGATCACGATCTAGGTGTTAACAACAACACCAACAACTCATTTTAAAAACAGACTGAAAAGCCATTCCTGATATGCGTATTTGCATTAAGATAGCGTTTGTCGGCTGAAAACAAACTTTATTTATTCCTTGAAGTATAATTTTAGGTTTTACAGAACAAAATGATGTAGGCCTAAGGAAAGATAAGTACAAATGATGTCTAGTAACATTGCTCAATTTCAGTGCTCTAGTCTAGAATATCGAACAGAAGCTACCAATTCCAAGAAATGTGCATTACACAGGCCATTCGTTCACAGGGTCATACCAGCCGATGCTTAGAAAACTTACTAAGTTTTTCTAGAGAACTTAAGTGGGTCATGGTTGAATATAATTATGGAAACAAGATGACTAAAGTCTTGATCTTCTTGCGTGCTTTTGTAAAAGAAAGAGTTAGAAACCAGTAAATATACTTGTGAAATAACAGAGCATAAAAATACCATCATTAGGAATAGATGCAACTATCTTGTTCAAAAGCAATCCGAAAATGCCACCGGAAAGTCTGTCTCTCTCTCTCTCTCTCTCAAAAGCACTAAACTATATTCCTGCTGGGAAAATACCAGTTACTTTGGTGTTCAAAGTCAGCACAATTAACTAACTGTTTAAACCCTCAAACTATTCTTTATCTCCTTCTGAAATTCACCCAGTAATAAAGGAGAGTAGAAGGCCGCCTGGAGAAGTCACCTGTTTTAAACACTCGCACCAATATACAGTAGTGTGTAGTCTGTCTGTCAGTCAGTCAGTCGACATTAAAATGACGTCACATAAAGGACGCTTAACGTTGCAATGTGTACTGTCATGACGTCAGTAAAACGTGCGCATGCCATGAATCACGAGAAGAATTATGCACTCTGTAGACTCTAACACAGCATGACTTGTGAACTTCAAACGCAAGAAAAAAAGATATTTGTTGCTCTCAATTTTATTTACTCTTGAAACAGAACACTTTCGGGGATTCTGCAGAAGTACATCTAATCTCTAGTATATGTTGTTGGTTTTACACAATTTTACCAACCAACCTTTCACTCCTAACAATATTTAGTAACATTTTACTCACAGTTTTCCCAATAACGTTTTACAACCACAGCCGATTTTCCGGTTTTGCGAAGCGTGCAACAGACACGAGAGAACCACTATTCCGGAAAATGTCTGTCTCAGCGGTTCTCATACTTTAAAGAGTCCCGAAGATCCGTTTTCATTTAAAAATTTTAGCGGACCCCAAAACCTGCGAGTTATTATTATTTTTTTGTTGTTTAAAAACTCGTGTACACGAAAATCTGTATTACAAAATGTTTTAATTTGTATAAATTCACTTTTACGAAAAATTAAATTTTATTCTATAAATCATATTTTAAGAAATTAATATACGACTCGCGAACCCCAGTTTAAGAAACGTTGGTCTATCTGATGAGGTCATGTACACTACACAACAAGAAGGGTGTTACAATTTTGATTGATAAAAAAGAACTTACTGAACGAAGTTCGACAAAATTTGGTATGCAAGTCTAAAAAACTGATATATCCAGTACCGACGAGGTCTTTCTCACAATTCCAAGGCTCATCGTATCAGCTGAGATACGACATATATCATCAATTTGCATGAACAGTTGTTAGGGTGTGAATCGAATTAAGCAAGATTTATCTGATGGCATTAGTTTCGTCAGTATGACAAAAATGACATGCGTGTATACATTCTTCATCCAAATTCTCCAGACATAAAGCAGTAAAAATAGGTGTTCTATCCAAGATTAATACGCTATCAAAGTTAAAAAGGAAATAATGTTTGTTTAATTAAGAGCAGCATCTTAAAACTCGCACGATACTCATTCTTGAAATATATTCCTCCAACTGTTTATTTTGCTATATCAGAAGTATCATTTATTTCGACCCCTTCTTAATGGTGGATAAAATGAACACAAGATATTCCGACAGTACGTCTACAGTGTGATTCAGAACAGTTCATAGATTAATACACACTGTTCGTTTCAACTAACACATGTACATCGCAACCAGAAGTGCTCAACTGTGAACGAACAGAGCAATAGGCACACGAAGTAATCAGTTATACCATATTTAGTTATTCAGTTCTCTGCACAAGAAGAAAGGATTATCGAATCTTAAGGAGAAAATATCAGCTTAAAATAAACCATGAGGTTGTAATATTTAGAACCCTAAAAATAATACTCGCTACACACACACATACATATATATATATATATATATATATAGTGTGTGTGTGTGTGTGTGTGTGTGTGTGTGTGTGTGAGAGAGAGAGAGAGAGAGAGAACTACGTAACGTAAACGAAACGTAATACGTAACGGTTAACTAAATTAATTAACTTAACTACGTCGACACCGTAAGACTACCTACTTACCTTACTAGTT